CCACCCATCTACAGGGGGACTCAGTGCCATGCAGCAAGGACAGGAGGCCTGGCCTCCTCTGCAGAATTGCATCCCCATGCACCGTGCCAAGAGCTCAGGGCCCCCACCTCAAGGTGGAGTCTCTGGGAGAGAGCCATGGAGTGGCCTTTATTCGGACAGGGAGTGGAGGAAATTCGTAATAGAAAGGGCAAAATTATCCAACCAGACCCCTGGGAAGGAGTGAGACTCAGGACAGGGCAGGACACAAGGCAGCCAGACCCACCCTGGAAGGAACAGAAACCTGGATAAGAAGTCAGAGGCCTGGGGCACATATGCACACTGGGGTTGCTTCGGCCTTTTTGGATTGAACCTGTCCCTTGGGCTCACCCAAGGGCATTGAGCTGGGAACACATCTCCAGACTGCTTCCTGAGATGCTGAGAGGAGCTGAGTCCCCATTTCCCTGAGAAGGAAACAGGGACAATAGAATGTGGGACATTTCTGGGTAGAAGCTGCTGCTGCCTCCTCCTCAGGCCATTTCAGCTACAATGTTGGCCCCAACCTCAGCTCTGGATGAAGAAGAGGCCACCAGCTTGGAGGCCAAGGACAGCCAACTGCAGGTACCAGTTAGGCCTACACTTGGAATGCCTTGACCTTGGGGCCCCACCTATGTTCCCATAGCAGGGGCTGAAGATATCGAGTATCCCTCTGAGCCAAGGGAGTTCTCCCCAGGGAAGAGCTCTCTGACCGGGATCACTGCCAGAGCCCTGCAGCTGCAATCCCTGCCAAGGTCTGAGAGGTGCACGTGGCAAACGCTCTCCTTGGCCACCCCCTCCTGGGGAGTATGTTCTCCACTCTCCTGACCTTTCCTCCCAGTGAGCCCATGTGGTCAGGATGCAACACCCAACACCTCTGAGTCTCTCCGGGGATACAATTTCATCCTCCACTGCAGGAGTGACTTCTCTAGGACTGTAGCCCCGCAGGTGACCGCTAGGGACACACATGCCCTAAAGGCGGGCTCTCCAGTCTCTGTATCAAAGTAGACACTGAAAGCTTTTCTGCCCATCTCTTTGCCTCACCCAAGGCCTCTAGTGTCCAAGAGGACAAAGGACCAGGGAGTTTTTCTGCTGTCCCTTGTGACTCCAGTGGCCTTTATTGCTAAATCTTGCTGTTTCCTTGGGGGAAGGACTTCTGTTTATAATTCTTTGGATATAAAAGGAAATAACAGATTGTAGGAGGCTGGGGCTGGGAGGTAGGGGCAAAGGAGAGGTGGGAGGATGGAAGGAGAGAACGCTTAAGCTGTGCTCAG